CGCTAAAATTTGAACTGTAGTAAGGGAGGGAATTTGCCAATTTAAACATTACAGATGCTAGAATCAAATACGCATGGATTGGATGGTTTGCATACTCAGTTGTGCTGACTGGAAAAGTGGCTGTCTGTTTCCGACTGTTCTACACTCAGGTAAGTTTTTTTGCTACGGTCAGTTTATGGAACTACGAAATATCATCGGACCTTCTCAGGATCAGCTGACGATGATAACTCCATCGGTTAATTTAAAAACGAACTTGCGCAAACCCATTTTTCTCAACTGTTCGAGATGAGAGCAAGGAACTACTTGCAGAGCATGCCGAATTTTGAGGTAAGTGCCAACGCTACCCAGGAAGAAAGCCCGCTCGCTCTGATGAAACCACGTAACTCCGCGAATCACCCTTTTGATGAATAGCTTACGAAGTTGTGGAAATAGACTGTTGGTAGCATGGAGCTACCTGCACAAACCTACGTGACATTCTGCCCGAGAGATTGGACTGGGAGAAGTAATCCATGCTGGAGCAAATGCATTTTTTCAGAAAAATAAAAAAGAGGTGCAAGCTTGAAAAAAAAATATTCTTGTCAACAAGAAAGACGTAAGTTCGTAAAAATTATTTTTCATTTTTAAAGATTTCGAAAGTTGTGGGCCTATTAAAATTCATGAAACGCCCCACAGACAGGTGCAAGTTAAAAAATGTTTCAAAGTGCACTAACTGTAAAATACAAAAGAGAAAGAGTAAATTTACTGTTCAAAACGGTATTCTTTCAAATCGAAACAGTCTAATGCGTTGCAGCTCCCGCCGAAAATATCTGACTTACACGACAAGTTCTTCGATGATCACCTGTTTCGGTTGGGTCTGTCGCTCAGCATACCCGTTTTCATATTCCTCCTCGAATCACATCATTACACAACACTATGCAGTGATCGACAGCTTTACCTGATATATCTCATGACCGCTGTAACATTCGACCTCATTGATACCATCTGCTTTCTCGATCTACTCTGGCAGTCATTCGTAAGTTTTTCACAATTTTATAATCGAACGTCCTATCACAGCACACTTCTCCACAACACTTACACAAGATGTTAGCCGGTTTGCTTCTGGAATGGAAATCCACCTTTTCGATGTGATAACACACACTCACACATACAGACACATAAACATTACACGTCCTTATCAAGAAAACTGCGATAAAATTCAAAGCATAAGCAATGAATATGTTCAGGTAGCAGAGGAAGAGCAGCGGCTCAATACGTGGGCCAGCACTGGCTCGACTACGAATTGCGCAACATTTCTGTAGCAGTTTGGTTCCTAGGCCTGCCAGAAAGTCCACATATTATGTGTTAACTGAAGAAATTTTAGAAAGACAACTGGAATTTACCGCTCTGGCTGGACCTCACGATTCTATCACTGGTTGCCGTCAATCTTGTTATGCCAGCTTTTGCGCTACTACGTTTACGGTTTGGTCGTCGCTTACCACGCTTTGCGCTTTTCAGTGAAAAAATTTGGTCACTCATCTACGTCCTAACAGTAAATTCTTGAAATATTTAATCCATTATCTCTCGCTCTTTTTCTGAACAATTTTCGGGAGAGGAGAGCAGTGCCTGTTTCTGGTAAAAGCCCGAGCCATCACATACAGTTGAACATACTGCTTTTGTTAGAATTTGAAATTTCATTTTGTCCTATAAGCCCAACG